ACGTGCAGCAAGGGAGGGGCGGGGCATGTGCAGCAGGGGAGGGGCAGCGCATAGTGAGGCTCCATCCCACCTCAGTCTGCTTGGGGCTGTACAGGTAGTTGAAGAACACGGGGGATCTCCGGTGAATCCGGGAGATGCAGTCCCAGATGCAGATTCCAGTCTTAGCCTGTTTGGCTCCTTTGTCCTCCAACAGTGTCCCTTTAAGGACAAAAAGCAAGCAGCTGGGAATCAGAAAGTCTAAGTGAGGAAGAAATCATGGACGGCAGCCTACAGCAGCTTTTATGAAGGATATGCCACAGACACAGATAAAGGCGTTTTTGTTCACCAGACGGAACAATTCAAAATATACACAAGAACTGTATCACCTGCATGTTTATGAGAGCACTTGCTCTTTGTTCTCCTGAAAAATTTTACTTTCCTGCGTCATCAGGAGACATTTATCTTATTATTTGCACTGGAAAGCAAGCATTGCACCATAAATATTTTTTCTGTCATGTCCCACCATATGTATTCCCTGATTGACTTTTCTCTATAAATGTTCTAAACGGAGCAGTTATACAGCGGTGGGGCTATGGAGGCGGGGCCACAGGCCCCAACTGAATTGTGATTGGTCCCTGGAATGCCTCCTCCCCTGTCACTGATTCAAGACATTATTAGCCAATTATGATTGACCCCTATGTATGAATCATGGCCCTTCTTGTGCCCCCCGCCTAAAGAAAAAAATCCTGGAATAGTCCCTCCCAGTATGTTATGATGTCTATAAGGCACCTGGACCTTTTTCTGAAGAAATGTCTATAAAAGTGGTAACGCTGACTTTCATCGGCCATTTAAATAACCATACACGCCTCTCCGACACTCACCGTGCTCCAGCCGCTCGTAGTCGGAGTCCAGGAGGAAGTTCTTGAAGCGGCTGGAGACGTGGTGATATGCTAGGAACTTCAGGTAATACTGGTTGAACTCAAACTCCCAGGGGTACTGGTGGTGGATCTGGATCGAGAGATGGAAGGAACAAATAGCACAGCTTTTCATGTTTCACTGGACCTGGCTTTGTGCTACGGCTAAAGTGAATTTGGCATGTCCGCTAAATGCCAAAATAAATAAGGAGAGTAATAATATGGTGTAAGACCAGGACGGCTTAGCCTCTGACATCATTATTCATAAGACATGCCCAGAAGACTCTCTTCAATAAGGCCACCTGGCTTTGCTTGCAAATGCAAAAGAAGTTTACAGAGAAACACAGGTCCTGTAGATGTCCTGCTTTCAAAACAACACTGGCTGTTGGTATGGGTCTGTATGGTGTCTTAACCCTCTGGGGAGTAGGGGTGGGGAACACACTCTCACTGACTGGGGCATCGTCACACATTTTATTCAATATCATAAACTTAATTCATGGCAAATAAATTATTTCTTATATATCTGTTTTGCCATTACACTCATCTTTATTTTAATGTATATTGTAAATATGTCAGATTTATGTTAAGTTTGTAATTTCACATCAAAGTATAGACATTACAAAATGCAGTTTGGAACACTTGCAGAAACATAATCAAAGTACATAGTAAGCAATGGTGGCAGTTTGTTTTGATCCCAGATATCTGATCACCAAAGTCTTGGCTACATGAAGATGACTAAACAGCGTAGTTGCAACATTCAGTTGGATAAATAAATAAGAAAAAGCTAACTCCTGTCACTATTTCTGGCTCCTTTCATTGAATATGTAGCAACTCTCATGTGTATGCATCAGCCATTGACACCTGGCCACATCCCCCCCCCCCCTTTTATGGCGCTGATGGGGATGTTTCTGGATCGCGCTTCACCCTTGCGCTGTTCAGCAAGTTACTATGCGAATGCGATTTGAATGCGCGCTAATGCGGCTATTTATAATGCGAATAGCGATCTTCAAGGTGACTACACGCCCCCGTAGCAGGTAAAACAAAGAAAGGTGACATGGTTTACTTTTTTGCGTATTTAATCTAATTTTAAAAACTGTAATTCTTCTGACAATGGACGGATTACGGATTTAGTCAGCGTTTTTTTCATATTTCTGCAATTTGATTTCAGTGAGCTATGAACTGAAATACACGAGAAAATTACACAGCCAGACCAGAGGAGCACAGGAATGGGTGGAAGGTAACAGTAACCACCCTAATATTGTGTATGAAGCTGCTAATCATCGCCTGTTTGATTTCGCACTGCTAAGTAACGCTTCATGCCTTAACAAAGCTAATCCCAGAGCAATGCGCTAACAAACACAACGACGGCGCTAACTTGAGTCCTGTTCCTGTAAGCTTAGGGTAGTTTTATTTTTGGTCCTCTTTTGAGCAGAAGGGGATTAACAGTTTGAAAACCACAAAATACCACAGCTATCTGTCACCCAAAATAATGGCCACAAGCCTGAGCACAACCTATCGTCAAGAAACCGGCACGCCGATTGGAAAATGAAACTGAAGTGTGAAGTCGAGGACAGCTGTGGTTGTAGAGCGACACCCCTCCCGACCCCCCAGCCCTGTGGCGGGACGGCGATGGGGCATGCCTGGTGTACGCAGTCCAGAAACTGCAGGAAGATGGGCGTGAAGCCGCTGCCTTGGGTATTGGGGGCCAGGTTGCTCCGTTGGCTGAACTTGTGCCCAAAGGACAGCCATTCCTTCTCCAGTAGTGTCTGGAAGCCCTCCAGGGTTCGGTAGAAGGGGTCACTGAACAGCTGTGCCAGGGATGCCACCTGGGATTTGGGGGAAGACGGATGTTGTGTAACTCCAACTGGAGTTTACCGGAGATGGATTTACCCTGAGAGTATTGCGGCAGGTTGCGGTAGCCATGGCGATGCGGTCACCTGGGTGGTGAGGTCCCAGCCATCTTCCAGACCCAGCAGCACCGATGAGCCGATATCTAGTAGGGTCACTACAGCCAAAGCCAGCTGCAAGATCCGGTGGAGCTGCAGAGGATGGATAATGTTGGGCGACTGCCTAAGCATAGCTAGTGACAGTCTATCCGGGACGTCATGGATGCTGACCAAATATACATCCATTATGGTCAGTCCCTCTCACCCCCTGCAGTGAGGACATTACGAAGCTCCTTCAGCAACAGATGCATCCAACATGCACGAAGGAACGCTTCCACAGGTCCTTCATTCCATCTGCCATCAGACTTTATAACACCTCAGTCACCTTAAGTTCATAAATTGTGTCACAATCCTGTATATTTACATCACTCGGTGCAATCGGTATGTATGTGTATCTGTATGCATGTGTATTTTGGGTCTGTGCGATATGTGTAACTGTGTGCACTAATTTTATTACTTATTGTATTTATTTTTTGGTCTGTTTCTTTTCTATTGATTTTTATTTACTGGCTGTTGCAACAAGTAAATTATCCCAGTGTGGGATCAATACAGACTTATCACATCATGGACATGAACACTGACCCTCCACATTTCTGGTGGTGTCCAGCTTGGCGTGTAACGAAAATGATAAATGCCCTCTTACATCCTTCTGGTTGACGTCGCAGTCTAATACGACCATTTTGAATGCTACCAGGGAGGGTTTTACTGTGAAATGAAACCCTGCTTTTGCCATGGGTCTAGTGCGACAACAGTGTCCAGATGTGATCCATCTGCTAGCTTTTCAAAACAGAAAGTAGACAAAAAAAAAATCTTCCATAAAAACTCGGAATACTAAAACCGACTTTTCCTGTAAATTCTGAGATGTCCCCATCTGCTTTTAAAGACGCAAAAAACACACTGTCCTATCAAACCTTGGTGTAAAGCACCGTTAATGTGTTAAAGTACCACGGTAAGCCAGTGCCAGTCTCCTCGCTGAAGTGGAAAGTATTCGGGCTATCAGAGGAAGGTCATAACAGCGACCAGCGCTTTCTAATAAACACTGGGAAGTCTTCCACAATGCACTGGAGCAGTCACTGGGGACAATGGAGAGCCAGCATGGCAATAATTTCTTGGAAGGAAGGCTTTAGAATTAGTGATGGAATATTTGTGTGAGATTATAACTACTTAACACATACTCCTGATTATCCTCACACAGCTACAGAGTTAGGGTTAGAGTTAGCTAGAGTTAACTCCCGAGAAGGACTCACCTGGGAAAACCACTCTGACTCCTCTAGGGTCTTAAGGAATCCTTCAGGGGAGTCAGAGGGTGTAGAACTGGGAAGGCAAGCCCGCAGAAGCTTCTTGAAGGAAGCTTTTACCTGCCGCGTGTCCGCCAGGTCGACCGGAACCAACTCACAGGCCAGGGCTGTGTCTGGTTTGAAGCCCTGTGCCAAGTGACGATAAAAAAGTCACATAACCGCAGCCCTCGGAACCGTAAGCTTCTGGACAACCTGAGTCAGCTAATGCTCAGTTTCAACTTTTAAATTTGCCCCGAAGTTTATCTCGTAATATTCCGTTGGTATTTTTGATATTATGTAAGTCTTGGCAACTGGCACAAGCACGAGCACATTTAAGCTGCCCGATCTCATCATCGGCAAACGGATTTCCAAGCACATCACTGTCCGCTTGGTCCCTGCAACTAATTTGCGGAGACGTACATGTTTCAGAGATGCCAGTGGAACTGAAGCCTGTGGCTTTGGAGGGGGTGGGGTGGGGGGGGGGGGGCGGCTGGGGAGTTCTTCACCCATTTATTATATACAGGCACTGACAACTGAATAGTGTTTGCAACGCAGTGCTTTTCAACAAATACAAAGTGTGCTAACGCCTACAGCAGCCGATGACACACATTACTCCAGATGGGGCTTCCTCAGTCACTAGCTACCTGGCTAACATTTGGCAATGTAATATTTGACCCAGTTACATCTTTACATTTTATTTAGTGGCAGATATTTCAATCCAACGTTTTTTTTTGTGTGTGTGAAAGCAGGGTCAGACAGTCCTCGGATCAATTAGAGGCTTAAGGTCTAGCAGTGACATCACTTTGCCAAGCTGTAATTTCATCTGGCGACCTTCTCAGTACAGATACAGTGTCCTAATCTGCTGAACTCACTCAAGTGAGATGCTGGTGAAAATGGGCCCTATACAGACCATCCCAGGTCCTTGCTGGTTTGGAGGAAAGGGGGGTAATAAGGTAGTAAGGCATTTCCTGTACCTTTAGGTGTGATTTCTCCCCGAACACGTAGAGAGATGCCTGGCGGCTTGCGAGGCGTGCATGTGACGGGGGCAGCCCATGCAAATAGTCCTTCCCGGCGAGTCTGGCGCCAACCTCGGCCGTGGTCGGGTGCAGGCTGATCCGGTTGCTAGAGCGGAGGCTGGACCAAACACCTGCAGGGGGGGTCGTGGGTTATAGGAGAAGCATACAAGGGGCGGGGCGGTCGCGGAGAACTGCCTGATGATGATCTACTGAGCCAGCAAGCTTTCAGCTGGATAAACATGCTCATGCAGGCTCTATCAAATGAGTTTCATTTGCACCTGTTCCAGGCTACTCAGCTTAGTGAGAATGACGCAGCGCCCCAGGTATGCTCAACAACACAGCGTCCCCCCCTCCCAGCTCCACCCGATGACACACAGTAGGCCTTTGTGTGTTAAGGGGCTTAACTGCGGCACGCCAACACCCGCTACGAGTAGGCCGACACGTTCCCCAACACAGGCTGCGAGCAGGCCGACACGCTCCCCAGCACAGGCTGCGAGCAGGTCGACACGCTCCCCAGCACAGGCTGCGAGCAGGTCGACACGCTCCCCAGCACAGGCTGCGAGCAGGNCACGCTCCCCAGCACAGGCTGCGAGCAGGTCGACACGCTCCCCAGCACAGGCTGCGAGCAGGTCGACACGCTCCCCAGCACAGGCTGCGAGCAGGCCGACACGCCCCCCAGCACAGGCTGCGAGTAGGCCGACACGCTCCCCAGCACAGGCTGCGAGCAGGCCGACACGCCCCCCAGCACAGGCTGCGAGCAGGCCGACACGCTCCCCAACTCAGGCTGCGAGCAGGCCGACACGCCCCCCAGCACAGGCTGCGAGCAGGCCGACATGCTCCCCAGCACAGGCTGCGAGCAGGCCGACACGCCCCCCAACACACACCAGCATAACAAACACAGACACACATGCACAGAGAGCGCACAGTCAGAGAACGGGATATGCAACCTCTCGCTATTACTATTAGCGGGAACACAAACAGGCAGCACTGGAAGACGGGGTGTAGTATACAGACAAGAGGGACGATAAAGAGAGAAAGAGCACAGCGCACCCTGGTTGTGGATTCTCCCTTTCGAAGCTGCTTTCAGGTTGGAGTGAGTGAATAGTTTGTCCTTGTATCCAAGCACTAGGAGGAAGAAGGAGCAAGTGAGGATAGAAACAGAGAGAATAGGAATCTAAGGCAGGGGTAGGCAATCATATCCAGAATGGGCCATTGTCTATGCAGGTTTTTAAAAAGTAACAATAATAACAGTTAACAGTGAACTATACTGGAAATTACTATAAAATCCAAACACAGTAATTGTACACAGTGAGATTTAAGCCTAGAACTATGAACAGAGAAAAAGGTTCAGCAAATCACCAACACAGACAATAAACCAACCAAACGATCTCTATCTGTAAGTGGTTTACTCAGGCAATAGTTGCTCAGCCTCCTTGAGTGGAGGACATCAAGTAGTACACCTTGATCAAAATGAAAATCCCAAGATTATCACGAGGGATTCTACTCTAAGTCAATGGCTATGATCCTTGTTTCAAAACAAACTTCTCATCTAGAGGCCACCTGGTCAGATTATGGCTTGGTCTGGGATATTGCTTTAGATAAAGGGCCCGTGCCAAATAAATAAAAATGTAAGTATTCAACTGGGGTAAAAACATTAAAGAAAAAACGGAGGATCAAACATAACTGTTGATTCTATTGACAAAACGGAATTATTCCTCCGGTGTGAACTGTGTTTAATGTGTATTATAGTACATTTGTACTCCATGTACTTGTCTAGGAGGTACCATTGTTTGGGAATCATATGTCACTTTATCATAAAGCAAGAGTTTGAATTGGGCCCAGGTTGTCCACCTTCCAGTAGCTGCACAAATTGGGTTTCAGTGCCAGGGTGCATTGGCCAGGCTCAGATCACACGAACCTGGAAGGGCGATGGGGTTTGGGGGGGGTGGGGGGTGGTGGTTGATTCCCAGCCTCCATGCCCCCAGCTAGTCTGAGATCCATAAACAGTGCAACCAAACACTTTTCAGACTCCCTCCATCCATGTTCTGTAACTGCTTGTCCTACTCAGGGTCATGGGGGGTCCGAAACCTATTCCGGAGGCTATGGGTTAGGGTTTGGGTTGGGGTTGGGGTTAGGGTTAGGGTTGGGGTTAGGGTTGGGGTGCCAACTCATCGCAGGGCACAGTCACACACCATTCACACATACGCACACACACACACAGGCTTGTAATTATATCTTTGTGATGACCATAACCCCTACCCAGCCCTAACCTTAACCATAAGTAACCAACCAAAATACGACACTTTTGGCATTTTCCTTTTTTGATTGCATTCACAAATGTTTGTGGGGACCTGAAAAATTATCCCCACAATGTCAAAATAACAGGTTTTTATTACATTGTGGGGGACATTTGGTCCCCACAAAGTAATATAAACCTAATCCACCCACACACACACACACATGCACTCCTATGGGCAATTTGGAAACTCCAAGGAACCTCAGCATGTTTTTGGACTGTGGGAGGGAAACCGGAGTACCCACAATAGTAATAGTAACCAGAGTAAACCCCACAATGACATGGGGAGAACATCCAAGCTCCACACACACTGTGCCACCATACCGCTCACTCAGACTTTGGCCTGATATTTAGATGACAGTCTCATCCAGAGTCACATACGAGGCCACTATGGAAAAAAAAAGAGTCAACACCATGTTCTACTTGAAAACCAGCCAGCCTGGCACAGCAGAACACCGATACCCTACTCTAAATCAGCTTCCTGCCAAATGTGATCCTGGAGGTCCATCAGCGTTCATTTGGACCAGTACAGTGCTGGAAAGCAGTGCACCATTATCCATGGCATCTCAAGCATGAAGAACATCTGGTGGAGTCTCACATCTCAGAAGCGTCTGACATCTTTGAAGTCATTGTTGTGAATCCCTGATGCGATAAAAATGGACAGTAGCCCGTGCGTGCGAGACCCAAGCTAGCGCGGCACGCTGCACATATTAGATATTTACACAGCCACGGTTCCTGAGAGCTGAAGCAGCTTGACCCAGAGCCGGCTGGCTACGCTCACTTGACGGAATGCGATCTTCCTAGACCTGGCCGTCGTGGCAGATCATGCACCGGGCCAAAACAGGCAGGGATTGGAGTGTAATGTGACCCATGGGGTGGCAAGAGAGAGTTACATCCTTCACACGACATGCCAAACTGGATCAAGAATGCTAGAGAGAACAATGAGCTGCTCGTAAAAGCCCCATTTCAGCTTTTCTCTGTTTCCAGCTACTGGCCGTAGTGTAATATCTCCAGCGATACCCCTGGACGGCATGCACGAATCTCCACTCACCTCCTTTGGCAAAGCTGTTGGAGAATGGAGCCTCCAGGTGAACGGGAGTGACCTTGGGGATTCTTGACACTCGCCTCTCACTGGCTGGATTAATGCCATTGAGGGATGGGAGGGGAAAACAACAGACAATGAGGCTCAAATTGGAGACAACAGCATGTTTGATAAATGGTACAGGCCAGATGACGGATCCTATTACCGACACCCCACATTCTCCAGGCAAGCCTTTGCATCTCCTATCAGGCGAAACACTATCGCCATGGAGATGGCGTCACCAGCTCCTACATGGACCTTTGAAGTTAAGCTCAGCTTAGGTCAGCCTTGTGCAACTGAAGGTTTTTTTTTAGCTGGATGAGTCAGGTACAGGTTAAGTTACACTGCCAGGAAAGTACAGAACAGGTTCTATAAATTAAGGCATCACCCCTGCAAGTGCTCTCAATGTCCGGGATCACTATTTCTGCTATTCCACTTTACCCTTGCTCCTTCACTGATCTAAATGAGTGCGTTAGTGGGAGGCAGAATGATTCCATGACATAAGATGCTAGCAGCAGTGGTGGCATGAGGTTTTGGGTGAGACCAGTGGTCACCAACTGGTGGAAACTGGACTGATATGTAATTGAATCTGGAGCATGTGATCGATCTCCCCTCGGGCAGAAGTGCCCGTGGCTTTGTGTTGCTGATGGAATTTAGCCCACTGGGAAAAATAGCTGGGGAACCCCCGGGCTAGATAAAGGCATATTGAGCCTTTATCACCTCTACCCTACCCCCCACGCCAAGAGAACAAGGAAATAAGACTGCCCACATGGCAAGGAAACTTAAGGAGCTGCACAACAAAGCAGGAGACGAGAAAAGTGCGAGCCCGGTGAAAGAGCAGAAGGTGCCGTGGTGACTGACAACAAGCTGTACCTGGAGAAAGACCAGCTAGGGAGCGTGAACTCAGGACGCTGTGACCACTCGCTTTCGGCTGATTCGGGATGGCGCTCAAGATGGCCTGGAGGTACTTCTCCTGTTCTAGGCTGGAGGACTCGGACGATGAGGTTGGCGCTGGAGAGCAGGAGCAAATTATCCTGATCTAACGCCAACACATGCCATACACCCAGCAGCATTGATTTTCCACCTCTGAAACCACACTTTGCTTGGGGCCCCCAAGGCACCCCCCTGCTGGCCACAAACAGCCACTACACTAGGAGGGGGCCCTAAAAGTGGCTTAAGTGGTGCCCCAGAAACAACAAACCGGCCCCTGCCAGCACCTAGGCTGCATGGCGGAGTCGGGCACCTATACCTACAGAGGTACACACCTGCGGAGGAGGGGTTCTGGGACTTGAAGAGGCTGACCACACCCTTGCCGTGGAAGCCACCGGAGCGCATTAGCAGGGCCTTGGTCTGAGGGTGCTTCCAGCTCACCACGGGCAGCCGGTTGTGACGGTAGCAGCGGGCCACCTTCTGCAGACTGCTGTCCGGTACGGTCTGCGGCACCACGAGCAGTGCGGGATAGCTGTGTAACATGGGGCGTTTCTCAATACCAACAACACAAAGATTGCACTTGTGGTCGTGGCAAGACCGGTCTTGCTAACGTGTCTACCAAGAATGAACTTGGGGCGCAATGAATCAGGGGCTTGGTCCCGTTTGGTGAGGATGCAACCAGTGTATCCTTGATATTTGAAGCAGGGCAAGAACGACGTCTGGGGAGTTTTACCATCCTCCGTACTTCTGTTCTTAGCACTGGAACTGGTCTTTGGCATTGGAAGATGATGTAAAATGGGTACAAGTATGGTCAAGTACACATATCAAGAAGTACCCATGGACACCACGCTAAACACTTAGACTAGAACCTTGCAGCTCCTGTCAGACTTCCAACAACTAACATGTGCACTGTGATGAGAATGCAGTAGAAGTAATATATCTGTGAGGACTGTCCCACAGTGATTACTGGAGAAGTTGTGTCACAGCTGTTAGACCTTCCAACACGATGATTAGAGAGTACAGACTATATAATGTGGTGATCCCTGCTTATCTGATGCTAACTGGTGGTCACGTGATCTGGTGACACAGAAACAGGAGCGGCGTTCCTGGGGCTGACCTGCGACAGAGCGAGTACATCCTGTTGACAGCAGTGGTGCGGAATTGCTCGCCACTCTTGGAGCGCGTCGAGCTGCCGGTGATGGTGCCAAGGCCCAGGCGCTGGTAGTCCCGGAAGCAGGCGTGCTCCACCAGCTCCTCCATGGTGGACTTCTCCGAGGCCCTCAGCGTGGTGGCTGAGGGCACCTCCCCGTCGTCTGACACTGCAACATACAACGAATGGGACTGGAAAGTTCCAGAAAGGGCGGCGGCCCCTTTAGCCCCACCCTCTGCCTTGCGTCCCCACCTGAGACGTCATCGTCCTCGTTCCACGTCGACCGGCTCCCTCGCTCGTTTCGCCTGATCACACTCTGACGGCCGATGGTTATCTTTCCGGCCTTCTTGGCTCCTTTGACAATGGTCTTCGAAATAGTGCTTTGGATGCATAATTAAATAACGAAATCATTTTATTTGCTTTTTGCACAAATACAGACACAGGCACACTGGATCACCACTGGAGCATTTCGGGGGGTTACGGGTCTTGCCCGCGCCCACGACTCACCGAAAGCCCGTGTTCCTCTCCTTATGCTTGGTGGGGAGCTGGGGTGTGGCCTGGCCAGCAGCAAAGGCGAAGGTGCTGAAGATAGACTGCGGGAATCGCATGTGCTGAAGGTGTTTCTTGAAGATCTCCACCATCTCTGAGCTCACCTCCTCATCGAAGGCCACCTTGATCAGCTTGATCACACAAACATGTCGAGGTGATAGTGAAGCTTGGGGTCTGGTTGAGGGTCAGCCATTTATCCAGCAGCCCAGAAGTTTGTTTCGGGGGGGTTATGGGCCTTGCTCACGGGCCCAATGGACATGTGAGTCTTCTGCCGAGGAAGGGATGCATCCCACCAAACAACACTGGTGCATCATTCGAGGTAAAGATGACTAGTCCATCATAAAAAATGGGACCATTTGGCACAATTCCCCTATACCCTACGCTACCTCTATCAGCTCCACAGCTCAGTGTCTCAAAACAATGTCCAAACAGGACAGGTGGCCCAGCACAGACTGCATAAAACACAACCGCCCTCTCTTGAATATGTTTTTATCACCAGTTTCGCAAAAAAGTTAGGAATGTACTATAAAATCTTCACAACGCTATATCTTTGTGAGTCCCGGCACATGTGTTAGCTGGGAAATTTCCTTCCTCTGTTTAAAATCTTTTTTTCTAATCCTTATGTGTATTCCACTCTACCCTTCCTGCAAAATAACACACAACAGATTCATTTTCAGAATGTCATGAAAGTGGATTTATTAAGACGAGGCTGCATTGAAACCCAAGCTGGTTGATACACTTTATTTTGGACCCTTTGCCATTTTTAAACAAATTCCACAATTTTTACTATTCATTTATTTGAGTTGCTTACCAGATGTTTTTTATCTGAGTGGACTTTCGTGCCTTATGTACCTAGCTAAACATCCATCCAGAAGTAACTGGTGTTAAATACCCCACCTGAAGGTACAACAGCTAGTCCCACCTGTGGACCGAACCCAGCAGGACCCAGCAGGCACAGCAAAGGCACTACCTGGAATGAGGCGGACCGCATCTGCAGGCCCTCTTGCATGTTTTGCTGCAGCTGGTTTTGGACGGTGATCTTCTTCTCCTTGGTCAGGGTGCAGATGGGGAAGCTCCTGATGACCACCTGCTCTCCCACTGCCCCAAGAAGCAGAGAAACGCAGAGCTAGTTGTGTGACAATCTAAAGGACGGACTTCATTTTTAAAGGGTAGAAATACCATTTTAAAAGCCAGAATCTGAGGAATTCAAAACTAAAGAGACGCGGCCGTTTAAGGAAGCGAACTTGCAAACCAGGCCAATCACTCCAGGTGCATAGAAAACCCTATAGTGCATGAGGGAGGTTTTCCTGCATAAACACTCTGCAAAGTCTGCCTTTGGCATCACTTCCCTAGCAGATGCAGTACTATATAATTACACATTGCACCAAAATATGCATGAAGTGGCCTGCACTAAGCAGGCTTACCCCAAGAGCTGATGTGTATTTTACATAATTTAATATCTGGCCTTTACACAGAGCGTCTATTTACCTGTTTATACCATCACACTTAAACAAGTTCAGCTTCTTAAGTACCAGGCAACCTGCCGGCCGTATCGAACCAGGCAGGGTATTAGGACATACCCAGCGGGTCGTGAGGGCTGCCCTTGAAGATGACACGGTAGCTGGTGAGGAAAAGCGCCCCCTCAGCGGGCAGGATGTGTGGACCCCCCATGGCCCCTTCCCGTCCATCGGGATCCAGCACTGCACGCAGCCCCTCCGACACAAACTCCTCCCCCGGAAGCAACATTGGCTTAAGGATCTTGGGCTGCAGGGCAGAGGAGAGTCCTACCTGTCTGATTGGTCCCATGAGAATATCACATGACCTAGACCACACCCCCTCCCACACTGCAAGACACGTGACACACACACCATCACTGTCACGGATGCCAGTGCTGGTGTAAATGTCCTGTCAGTTAAAATAACCTCAAATATTATGCGGCTCTTAAAACTATACTTCTAACAGCAGCATCTTGCGCTGTTTTCCTGAAGGGTAACACTTAAGGAGTGAACAGTAAGGGATTTTCCTCTCTTTGCTGCATTCAATCTGAAACACATGAACTTCAGTGCTGTTAAATTTCCTTTCGGTGAACCCTGAAATGACTGTTTATGCAAGAAATTAAAGACCACCGTGGAAATTCCAAAAGCCAGAAGACTGACAGCCAGCGACCACGCCAAGGCAAACATCATTCTGGCACCTCACGGCCGGACGGGTAGAGGGATTATACTCCGGATCAGCGCCGGCGGAACAAAGGAACACAGACGGGCTGTAAGAGTTGACCCTTGCCCTCTCCCTAGCGGCATTAGCATGGTGCTAACACTGCTCTACCGATGGCTTGGCCACATCTCCCCACTAATCCCCAAGCTAGCATAACCACATTAGCACAGTGCTAAAATGTGTCTTTAGCCAAGTGGCCAAGCTGCACAAGTATGATCGCACTATAATTAACAGTGGGCCAGTCCCTAGGTGGGGGGCCCTTACCTTCTGGATGGGGGGAAGTCTCCTGCTTTCCCCGTGAACAGCCTCCACCGCCTCCATCTGCATGGCCACAATTCCTGCATGACGCGAGTTACATAACTGAGTGCACGTGACAAGAGATGCGGGCTCTGCATGATTACAGGAGCTGGGGCTCGAACCTGGGATCATGCTGTGCAGGGTCTTGATGTGCTCCTGAGTGACGGAGCTCTCCGTGCACACCTTGTCCACGAAGCGGGCCACGAAGCGCGTCACCGCGTTGGCCGTGTCGCTGCCCTCCGCATCCTCGAAGCCACTCTCTGCGTCGAAGCTGTCTGCCACGCTTCCGGCGATGCTGTGGGGCAGGGAGGGGGGGTCGGATGAGGCCGCAGGCGGCACACGTTGGTCAAACTCCCCGGCTCACTGGCAGCGCGTCCGGCCTGATCTCAAGGTCGCCCTCACATGGTGGAGCACACAAAAGTGTTGCAGATCGTAGAATCTTTTCTGAATCTTAAATCAAGTCAAAATGCTGTTACTGGCAACCAAAGTAAAGCCCTCAGTAACTCAGCAACATTCCCCTAAATTCCGTGTTGTTTTCAACTCCGGGCCAGGATTATGATGTCATCAATATGCTGTTCTGGGGGCTCCCTGACCCGCTTGGTTTCGTAGACGGTGCCTCCCAGACAGCATCCAACAGGCAGCCCTGTTCCCTCCTGAGTTAGACGCACTCATTCCTGCAGTCACACTGCACTTTAGTTGGACTAATACAAAAGTTCCCAATTTTTTCTACCCACGACTCCCAAAATAACCGTTCCAGAGATTCACAAGTCCCATTAGCTCTACATCAATGGTTTCTAACCGTTTTCTTTGCAGTATGAGCTACTTTTACAAAGGAAATAATCTGGGGAGCTGCTGACAGTTGGTTGTATGAGTAATTGAAAAATGAGGCTATAGCAACCATGATGGGGAGAGTTGGGTAATTCAGGTCCAGACCAACCAGTTGAGCTTAAAGAGCCACAGTCACAGAATACTCAACTGGTTGGTTTAAACAAAATCTCGGTCTGGATTTTTACTCTCCGGACCTGAATTACCCAACTCTGATAATAGAAAAAACTCCCTCTGTCTTTCACTTAATGGTTTAACCCATTTTCTATTGGTAGAGACTGACAGTCCAAGGTAAGTAAATAATGCCTTTTGTAGCCTTTGTAGCCTGATTTTTAACATAACTATATATAATCTACTTAACGGTACTTAGAGTCGAAAATTCCCACCACCCCATCATACTGTGAGTCCTCCTGGCCTCTAGGTGGCACTTGCCTGTTGGTGATGATGCTATTGCTGCCACTCTCCCAATCAGCTCCGGGCCCAGAGCGTAGCAGCTTGTTCTTGCTGGCATCCAAAGGCACCAGCAGGTAGACCATGAGGCTGGCATAATGTATAGCCTGGCTGAAGACTGTGCTCTCCTCATTCTTGACCAGTTCCTGCTGTTTCTCCTTGCTGAGGCTTGACCAGGCACGCAGCTGTTCTGCCGCCAGGTCCATGGCAGTGGGCTCTGAGTCAACACTTGCAGCTGGGACAGAGGAACCCCCATCCTGATGGAGAAGGTGCAAGAGCATTAAACTTACAGATCTTTCCATAATATCTGGAGGAACATAATGAATACCCAGCATCAGGGTGCAATACATGATGTTCAAAAACTACAATGATCAGGAGGTGCACTGTCACCTTCGTCTTGGAAATCATGCCCAGCTTCTCCTCAGGTGAATTAAGATAGAGGGCACGGATTTGATTCTGGACTTCATGGTAGAAGGTGGCCTCCCAGAACTGCTGGTTTGTCCAAATGGGATGGTCTTGTACACAAGTGTAGGCGAACTGGTTCACCCCTGGCGCCAGTTTCTTGTTGATGACAGATGGAGTGGAAGATGAATAGAGACACGGTGATATCTACTACACAAAGCTTTATATTCCATTCCAACCCCCCACTAGAGAGATTAACTAAGCCAGTATGGAAAGATCCAGACTGTGGAACAGGTCTAGCCACAAGGCAGCTAAATGTTAACAGTCCCTGAAAATCGCAATTTGTTTTTGTATTCTGCTCTGGCCACCCAGGCCCCAGACCGCCAGACTCACTCCCTAGAACAGCTCTGACAGAACGCTCCAATTTTCCAAGAGCTGGAATACCGGTACGTTGCTGTTGGTACACCAAAGGGGGTAAACCCATGTAGGTCTGACAAACAGGGATATGTGCCAGGACTCTTTACTGCAGTGTTCAGTAGGAGCAAATCACAGAGGCCAACCAAAACAGAGGTGAGGCATCATGTGAATCCCAGAATCCCCTGCTAATTGGCTATTAGAACGGCCCAATAGTACCTTATAAAGTAACCAGTGGGAATCAGGATTATTTATCGGGTGAATGACAGTAACACAATAACACTACCTGCTGTGTTTGGACACACCACCAGCACTGATCACAGGCACAAAGGGCTATGACACGTTCTGCAGCTACCCTCCCACTAGGGGGCAACGTCGGACCGCCTGAGGCCACTGGCTGTCATCCTCGCTATGTAAGCTATGCTCACAAGGGCATTATAGGCCAAGTGTGATATAAGCAGGGAATTAAAGGGGTAACATTAACCCCAATGCCTGACATCCTGTGGGCTTTACAGAATGCATATAAATTATCAGCTTAAAGATCAGACAAGGTGACAAACCAACCCCATAATGTCAGAACAAAAACATGTAGGGCCAGGTTCTCCACTTTCATTTTATGGTGTAACTGTCTGTTTAACATGCATATGACAGACTTATTAATCTTAATCTAAGGCCAGATTTAGGAGGCCTGTGCTCTACACAAGCTTTCACACAGCGAACACACCACACACATGCTTCTATACAGTGAACACACCACGCACAAGCTTCTACACAGTGAACACACCACACACAAGCTTCTACACAGTGAACACACCACGCACACGCTTTCACACAGTGAACACACCACGCACAAGCTTCCACACAGCGAACACACCACGCACACGCTTTCACACAGCGAACACACCACGCACACGCTTTCACACAGCGAACACACCACACACATGCTTCCACACGGTGAACACGCCACACACACGCTTGCACAGAGTGAACACATGCTTACACATGAACACACCACACACGTTTCCACACGGTGAATATACCACACACACTAGCACACCGTGATTTCACTGTGCACATGCCATACACGTGGCACCAGAATGGGCTGCCCTGAATACTCAGCAGATCTTAGGCATCTTCCTGGGATGGTGATGGAACTGGAGGTATAACCAAAGTAGCAGGTTTAGCTCCTAAGAGGAAAATCGCCGGTACACCTTTGATGCTGTCATTCAGAAAGTGTTCTTTCATTATACATAAGAAGTTTCTTCCATACGGTAGACAGTCCACAGGCAATCTCAGGGGGTGGCAAAGGGGGGTTAGTGAGGGCCCAACAACCTTTGCCATTTCCCGGAAACCAGAGGACTGAAACAGTGTCTATCCTTGGTCTCTTAGGAATCAGCTAAAATTAAATTAGCTGAATGCTTCTGTTAGGGAAGTAAATGCCCTAAAATGTTTCAAACAAAAAGTGCATGAATATATATATATTTTTTTATTTTTTTATTTTTTTTTATGTAACTATCAGATATCAGGAAGCACAATCAAAAAGATCTTTAAAAACCGCATACTCTGCACAAAAGTTGCAGGTCACTGAGTGATGGGGCATATTTTGAAATTGAAAATAAACACGTAAAGGAGGAATGAGACTCTTAGCATCTTACATAAGATGACGGTCAGCTCAAGCACTCCTATTTAATGTGAAACAGTTAGTCTGTGTAGCTCGCCAAAAGTCTAGTTTCCCCTGCTGAACAAACTGGAAGAAAGAATGCAACTCCTCCTCAGCCTGAGTCAAATTCGGACCTCGACTGCAAGTCCCATGGGCAATATATGTACTTCAGAGTGCCGAGGCCAAGTAAACTGCACTGATAAGGCATCCCACGCATGGCTGTTCCAATCCAGGGACACGAGATGCTGAGTCCAGTCAGACGGGAAGACAAGTATGACTCTATGTAGAAGGGCACAGCAACACCTAAAGGATCAACCTTTTCAGAAAAACTAAAACCAATACGTTAATTAGAACATTCTTCATGGATAATTTCAGACGTCAGACAGATTTTTTAAATAATTAAAAGCAGATTCAAGTTGATTTTAAGGTTCAAGATGGTTCCTAGCTGTTAGGATCCGTGTCGGGCGAGCAAGAAGGAAGCGGGGAATTAGGAATCGAGCCGACTGAGATCCAGAATACAGGATTTTAATAGGGAAAGCACGAAATACACAGACCACACGGTACAAACGTCAATGACAGACCTGGCGAAACAGACTTGAACGCGGACTAAATACAGGATGTGACCTCAGAATAAACGCAAGACAGCTGATACAATGGGACTTGACACGGGGTTAACGAGGAGGGCGTGGCACACACGAGGACTGGACGCGCAGGTCATGACACTAGCTATCTTTTTTGACAAGTCAGATTAAACTCATCACAGGTCACATGACAGTGGAGCGAATGGGGGAGAACTAATCTGACATCACAAAAAGCTCAATGCCCTCTCTCAATCTGTCCAGTTAAGAACTGGCCACTGCTCCCCCACAGCAAAGTCCTGCAGTGGAACGTCTAGAAGAGCAGGATGCAGTCACACAGTGTACCTACTGATGGGATTTACAACTGCTAGGTTACAAAGATGCTAAGGTGCAAAGATGCTAAGAATGAACAAATACAGGAAAACCAAACCACAAGATGATCTTGTTATGTGATCTGGATCCTAGAGAAGGTTTACGCTAAGAAAAAGGAATGAGGAAGGGCAAGTACACAGCAGTCAGCGAGGTGTTGAACAAGATAGGGTTGGCCGTGGTGGGGATGCATTGACTAGTTCCTTCAATGCATATTCAATATTCTCCATGGCTCCCTTCCAGGTGAGCTAACCAATGGAGGAGAAGGTGATCTCCCATTGTGATCAATCAGCAACTGTGGTTGGTAGCAGACCTTTACCCCCATGATTCTGGAATCCTATGCTCTTCCTCATTGAGTCATTTTTGTAATATAATTGTGAAACCCAGGAATTACTGAAAAAAATATTATCATTATCATTGTTATTATTAAATGCCGTCAACTGGTTGGACTTGGCGACCACAGAGATGGCGTTCCTACAGAATGTCCTGTCTAGTGCCTGGGTCTTCAAGCTGCCCAAATGGCATGTTCAGTATTTTATCATACTGAAAGAAAATATATCAACCATATAAACCACTTTATTTATCAACAGGGAGTTTTGTCGGCTGGAGGAATCCTGCTGGATAAGATCTGAAGTATGACTAAACTACTTCCGATGATGTTAGTGAAAGGGAGACTGATGTAGAGGGTTTCATATCGGCACTCGAAGCCTCTGGATAAGCCAAGTGCTCAATGCGGTTTAATGCCTTCAGAGTGCAGGCGGCCAACATGCTCCAGCAAAGACCCTAGTCATCAATCTCAAGTTAGACTGTCGAAACATTTTCCTTTCCATCCGCTTTGACAAACAAAGGCCAGTGAACGCCGTCCTCATGATTCTGCAGTCCATATGCAAGACGGCTGTGAGATTCACCCAGGAGGTGAGGAAGAGTGGGACGTCATCAGCCTGACTAAACAAGGAGAGTACACAAACCAACACATACAGCCATTCTCAAGGGATCATGAGCCACCGCGCATCCTGTCTCTGTCAAGCCCCTCCCACAGCTCTGTGTGCTGTGATGCTTTCCTAGACATGGACATCTGTGCATCCTAAGACTCAACATCTGTTGACCCTTGCGCCATTGGAGCATGTGCCTATCGACAAACCAGGACAACTGATCTGCTGCGGGAGCTTGTTTAATGGGTTTTGGTCCTGCTCCGGTCCTTCTCTACTATGTGACCTACGTACAACCGACTAGCCCAGCTACTTGTGGACTTGTGGATCTCATCATCATCATCATCATCATCATCATCATCATCATCATCATCCTCTTGAAGCAGCAGCCGCATGGTGAGCCACTACCCAGCAATCTAAGACTCAACCAGCACCATGTTCTGGAGGGGTACTGGCCCAGATCATCCTGAGGGAGCCAAAAGCCCAGTCTAGTTTCAATCACAAAACTGGGGGAGGGGTTTTCTTCTCAGTAACACAACACTCTTATCCCCAGTGCCTGTTGAAGCCCATACGGAGCTCTAAACAAGCTTCACCGCCAGTTTGCTATGTTGGCACCCCCTCGGAAGATGGGCTGTCTGTGTCGTTAAATGGGTTGACTGGCACTTCAATCCCCCAAGGAACTCTGTCAGCTGTGTGAAGGTCTTTGCTGTCTGTCAATTGTGTTCCATCAAGATGCACGGAGAAGTTCAGGCTGCATGTTTATCTCAGCCGAGCTCCATTGTCCTCCACCAAATACACGTCTGGAGACATTCTCTTAATACCCAACGCCACTTATCGTTTTCATCCGTTTTCTTTGTTGCCAGGCAACCTTCCTGCCACATCTAAAAATCAGGAGGCTACACAGGCCTAATGGCCAGCAATATGAAGGAGTGCTGCCCCTCCCTCACTCTCAGAGAATGCCCCGACCTACCCAGGCAGGATGCCCCCAACACCACAGACTCACCGGGGCACTGAACGCCACCATGAACGCCACCCTGAACACCACCCTGAACACCATCCAGAACCATACAAAAATGCTCCGTCTGAATGCCACAGACTTGGGCAACATACTTATCATGTGAAAATTACCCAGAATTGATAATTAGCAAGCAGAAAGAATAATTGACTCATCGTATTACACAGGATGAATAAACAAGGATGAAAAGAGGACATTATGAGCTAAACAGAGGAAGAAAAAACAAAAGCTTAATTCATACACAAATCACATCAGCGGAACATTCTGTAATCTGTGTCTACACCCAGACCCTTCAGGCTAAGCTCGTATAGGTGGGTGGATGCAATAAATCCTATCCTTTATATTCCGTATTTTATCTGTACTGCTATGTTTAAGTCTGTAGTAGACTGGTATGAAACATAATTACAAAATTAAATAACATAATCTGGCTGCATTTTTAAGCACAGTTGACTGATGTTCTTATGAGTGAAATTGTGCGTTTTAATGGGTGATTTTTAACATAATAAAAATGCAATACACATATAAATATCCCCTGGGGGGATGGGGTGCATAGTTCCCTTGACAGATCAGCACCAACAGGACCCCGCTGTCTGTTTCCGTAGGCATAGGTTAACTGGTTATACACTTACCCGGTAAAAGGCGGTCGTCAGGGGCAACAGCGCTGCGGCAACACTGAACTCCTCCGAGCTGGAACAGTCCTGTGGGGAAGGCCAGGAACTGCATCGGAACGGCAATAGCAGGACTGCCCCCCCCCAACCCGTACCGGTCACCATGAAGGTCTGCATTAAAAGCCCTTCATCACAGGTCGACTGATTTCTTTCTGCCAGTGTTACATTTTACATTTATTTTTATTTAACAGATGCTTTTCTCCAAAACACTGTACGACTGAGGCAAATAGCACATTACAAGCATTCATGCTGTCAAGGAGTGGACTAGGTTTAAGTGCAGCTAGGTTGAGCTTCAGTCAATTTCCCAGGTACGAGTGTAAGCAGGACTGGAGCGGGAGCTACACAACAACTCCCAGCACGAAGCAAGAACCTAAAAACCATATTCAGTGACTTTTAGTTTCACACACCTCACAGACCACAATGCTAAAAACGCCCATTCACCATCTCTGCAAGGAAAATGGAATTTTTCATTTAAAAATCTGATAGATCAGTTTCTACCCACAAGCCATCACTCTCAGGAACAGCTGACCCTCATGCACTCTTACCCCAGCTATGATATCTCACTCTTATATATAACTCACTGTACTTATTGTATTGTATTGTGCTTGCTTGCTGAATTTATTCCAAAATTCCTTGCATTAACATGCACTGTTGCAATTCTTTATGTTCTTATCAACCACAGATGCATGTTGCATATATACAGTATATACACAGGACTGCAGGCGACCACTGTCTTCTTCTAACTGTGTATGTATCTGCTGTGTTTGAGAGCCACTGACCACTGGAGACAGTTTCCCCGTTTGTCTGTGTGAACACACTTGGCCATTAAACCTTATTCTGATTCAGGCCCAATCAGAAAACACTTTCGAAGACTCAATTACTGGTAAAACGCCACCGGCAAATAAACGTCATAGGATATAAGGTAACCTCAGTACCCCCTGGACACAGACGGCACCTCCCGTTTAAATCAACCATGCGTCTCATCGTTTGGCGTCTGCTGCGCCACAGCGCCCCCACACTGGCGTCTAGCGCACCCACATGTGCTTTCAATAAGCTTATATAATCGCCGCTCTGAAATCGTCACCCGAGTGTTACAACCTACAAGCGATCCGCAAGCGTGTGCATTCCGAGCAGGTCGTAAGATCTGGAATGTCAATGAGGCTCGACGGGGGGAAAAAAAAAAAACGGCGAAACGTTCAGGATTCGCACGTCCTCCATGTCCTCCAGCGAAGAGTCGAGATAAACAAGTATATTTTTCATATTTGCACCAGGATAGCCATGCAACTTATTAAAACCAATTAAGTAATACATATTTCCCCGCATCTTCACACGGGGGGAGGGCAGCTTTTCATGGCGTCCTCGAGGAAGCATGGCGCTCTTCAGGTCCATGGAGGAGACCGGCAGCCAAAATCTCAGGACCCTCCTGAAGGAAAAAGGGTCCCTAATTATAAAGCAAAAAAGACTTTGCGGGGACTGCAGAAAACCTAATGGCTTCCGGAGTGTGCCAGATCTACGACAGTGGGAAATGGCCGCTAATCTCGAGCATTGACGACAGGAAATGAGCGCTAATCCTCAGGACAGGGGGGCACAAACTTTGGTCAAGTCAAGAAGCAGAAGGGGACAAAGGAAACGTAAATCAGCATCAGAGGCACACCAGGACCTATATTGTTACAGGGTCCAGAGTTGCTGACGCATTCCTGCACACGTATGCATGCGCACACATGCAAGCATGCGCACACACAGATATGCATGCACATGCACAAAAACACACACATATACATGCATACGCACACAAAGACACATACGCAAGCAAACACATACACACAGAAAAACTCAAATGCACGCAAACCACATGTAGAGTCACATGCACCAGTGTGCGTACGCAGACACTTGTGGCAGTGCACTGATTCCAGAGATTTCCGCACACGTTGAGGTGCACAGGGAGTTAATCGCATGCCATATCCTTCTCCCCACCTTCCTCACAGATGGAGCAGAATGAACGCAAAGCAGATGCAGGACATACTCGCCTCAGCGAAAATGAACCACCCCCCCCACCCCCGCCCCCCCGCAGAAACCCCCCATGAACTGCACAGCATTCCTGTCATTTTCAAGGGTTAATCCCCCCCATGAGACGCCTGTGCTCCCGCTGTACAAACCGCTGTGAGGTGAATAAATCCAGCGGCTTGTTTACGCGCTTCACGCCCCAGATGAGGGGGGCTGATATTTCCCTTCGCTCTCCAGGTGAAAGGTCATAGATCACTCAGTCACACCTATCTCACCCTTCAGCCTAATTGTGTCAGGCCCCCTCCCCTGGCATAGCAGGAGTCTGAGTCAGGCCAGCATGATCTCTTTCCAGCAGTTAAACACGCCAGTTTAGGGGGAGTGGCTCGATGGCATCAAGTCCCGACCTGACAGTACCGCTTGTTTTTCTCCTGAGATGCCGTGACTATCAGCTAGAACCGCGGGCCGGCCCAGTGCCAGGGCCATGCGACATATCTCCCACTCCGGCAGCCAAGCTCGGCATTGTTTCTGACAATCAGACATATCTTTGTGGTGTCGCTAAGTCGCCTTGGGATCCAGCCTGGAACGGCTCCACTCTGCCGAACAGCCCGTGATGGTTCTTTTTTCCAAAGCCGAGGAATTTGAAAAGGTCAAACATCTGTACAACAGCAAATCTGGTTATCACTACAGTGGTAGATCTAGACAATTGTTTTTTTTTTTTTTTCTTTTTTTTCTAGACAATCTAGACAATTGTACCTGCAGATCTGGATATCAGTACAGTGGCGGATCTATACATCATTTCAGTAGTAGATCTGGGCATCAGTAGAGTGGCAGATCTAGACATCACTTCAGCAGCAGATCTGGGCATCCATAGAGTGGCAGATCTAGGCATCATTTCAGCAGCAGATCTGGGCATCGAATCCTTGGGAGACTGAGCTTCTCCTCAGCTCCGATCCACAATGCTCAGGCTCAGGTGATTTGCTACATCACTCTTACTGATACTTACTGAGCTCCTCTCGAAAGCCACTGAAACAGCAGGAGCAGCACTAACACAGCAGGCTGTGAAGCCATGTGACTGTGCTCCTGGTCACGGTAGTCAGTGTTAACAGGACTCATTCCTCTGCCCAGCTGCCTGTCCATATCCTCAACTCCAGGAACTCTCGCTCTACTTGGGAGTTCCTTCCATGGAACAGCTGACACAGACCCCAAAGCCATCTCTTGTCAGTGTCACAGCTGCCTGCAAACGTTTTTCATTTCTAACTGGCCCTTCGAACCAAAAAAGGTTTTGGAGATATTCTAGCTGAGATAAAACCATGAATTTCCATGTAGACAGTTTCACCATCAAATTGAGTTACAAAAATGCCAAGTGGAAGTTCAGATAGATGGAGACTGAAGAGGTATTAACTTCGAACCTAGAACATTCTCCAAAGCATATAACTTAACAAGCACTACGAGAGGTCCATTGGGGGCTGATAATTAGTGACGGTGGTAATTTCCCACTCCCTGGTCACACCCCCGCAGTCTGTGCCAGGGGCTTTAATTGACATGCCGAGCGTGTTTCCAACCAAGATCATGGGCCCCCCGGCAACAGTAAACAAGAAATCGCTTTGGCCACTAAACCTTCTGACAGGAAATGGCTAACATGCTAGGGTGGTCTCTGTCTTCATGCCCCTCCTGCATCTAGAGCCACAAAATGGCAACAGCTGGGGGTACCGGCGCTCCACATGGAATGAGACGACAAACAAACAACCATGGGGAAATTCCAGAGACGGCAGCACGGATGCGGCGCCTCCGAGCGTGTCACAGGCCGGAACGTCCGGCTCCTGGGGCAGGGAGGAACTCAGGGGAACGACTCAGAACACAAGTATCTCACACGAGACACAGTGGGATCTTCACACATTAGTGTGACATCACTGTGACATCACTGTGCCTTCATGTAAACATCTATCATATCAAGTCAAGTGGGATTTATGAACTAAATAATAATAATAATAATTGACACTTTTATTAATCCCCGTGGGGAAATTCTTTTTACGCCTCCCTCAACTTGCGCTTTGTAGAGCAAGCTGTCCGCGAAGGGCAGCCACCTGTAGCGGCGCCCAGGGAGCTGGGGGTTGAGGGTCTTGCTCAAGGACCCGCAGACGTGCTGAGGCTGGGCTTGAACTGGCGACCTTGTGATTACAGGCACACGGCTTAGCCCATTGAGCCACACGCTGCCCCCCAACTAGGACTGTATGAGAAGAAAAAAAAAAAATTAATAACTATTCAGAAACATTCTATTTGGTATCCCTTCTCAGTGAACCACAAACAAAAGTGAAAAATTCACAGGTTCTTTCAATTCTTGCATGTACTTTCAACAAAAGTAAAAATCTAACAACTCCTGTAATGTAGCCTTGATGGAACAAAATCATAATTACAGCATGGATGACATGGTGAAGCTCAGATCAGGCCTCCACAAAAAATAACTGCCCAGGCCTCGTCGAGATAAATGTAGAAGGATCTAGATGAGCTGCTTTAAACGGAAGGCCAGACAGCACACGCTACAGTACACCCCCAAAAGGTGCTTTACTCCATGTGACCTCTGCGTCACATATAGAAACATCCTCACCAGTGGCTCCAGCTAGCAGGTAAGCGCAGTGGGTTGACCCTCCCTATAATAATGCTGTGGGTTGATGGACTGAACTGACCTCACAATTGGCGTGTTGGTCTCACAGTCATGGAAGAGCTATCATTTCTGAAAGATGAACACTGATGATCGATCGTGCTGTTTGTAAACGCTGCAAAGCAGCACAAAGCCGTCGCAGAGTAATCTTCCCTATGTCCTTGTGAATGAGTGCAGCTCCTGTTATTTATTTGACTAACTCCTGTCTCTTCACGTCTCTCCACCTTCCACACACCTTTTAATGAAGCAGCAGGTCTCCCGATACCCTGAGCTCCAGAAACACTAAATAAACCGGTCCCCACTGAGCCGCTCTGTCATCGCAGGAATGAGCGGTGTCTGCTATCCTATGGCCTGACTTCACGCTAACATGGCACAGAAGATCATCTCATCACTTTGTTCCAGGTTCACTCACTGTGGGGAGGGAGGGGGGTTCTGGCCTGGGTCCATACCCTGGGGCAGTTACAAGCACCACCAACCTGTCGACAGCATGCAAACACCCCCCCCCCCCACTCCATCTGGTTGGGGTGCTGAGGACCAGAAATAGCAGGAATGTGTAAGTAATGGAATACGATCTGGAAATTAGCAAAGCCTCCAGCATCGATGGCATGTTAATGCGGATGTTTACGCCTCGCCCCCGGTTTTACCAGACCATCACTCACACTGCTGGATGTGCAGCTTAAAACCCCCACCCCTCCTGGGCCTGGAACAGACAACCCTCCGGGTACGAGTCCAGGTCTGTAACCCGCCAGCCAAAAGCCCGCAGCAGGAACCAAAGGAACAGTGTGGGGGCACTCCACACAAAGCAGGCTGGGGGGTTCTGCCACACTGCAAATCAACACAACAATAAAAATCCGACATGCACTTAAGTCAAAAAAACACGTAGCTGTTCCCTTTCTTCCCCACTTACACTTATTGCCCATTTACTTAGGTCTGAGCTTTAATGCATGCTTAGGCTAGATACGCGCTTTCTGTGAAGAAACACCAAAATATGTATGTGTCGCATATTTTGCCGCATTCTGCCACTGACTTAAGTGTACTTAATTGCATTATTAACTACGTACAGAACTACCTGAGCAAGACAACCACATAATTGGTGACCGTTCTACACTTAATGAGGAAGATGTGTGGGTTTTTAGTGGCAATGACTAGCAACTGGTTTGAAATAATATATCAGTCCACACTGTAGCGTATATGCTTGTTTGCTCTATGCAGTTGATTGCATTATTATTTCATTAGCAATGCACTCTAACCATTCAGTCCCTGTTACTAACATGTACATCATATCTGTTGGTTAGGCATATTTGCTTGTTTACAGAATTGTTCTGAATGAAGAGCGGAAAAAGTATATGGATTCATTTTTAACCAATACTGGTCATTCTTGCAAACTTAATACCGTATCAGCTTTCTCAATTTTTTTAAAACTAGTTCGACGACAGAATCACATTGTATTAGTGTCCAAAATTTCAATTTTGCCCCTGGGGTAGTTAATCAGTTGCGGAGTAGAACAACTGACAATACAAAACAAGTGAAGAAATGAACATACTTCTTATTGTATTAATTGACTGTCTGTTGCAATGAAGTTGAAAGACTTATATAGTCTGTGCTGTTTGCTACGGTAGAGCCTATTTGGGGAAAATGGTTGAGGGCTTGATGGGCCGAATAGCCTCCTCTCATTTGTAAATTTCTTATGTTCTTATGAGGGATCATTAAATAAGAGCAATAAATGACATAATTTTAATATACCTAATAAGGAAATGTCAATTGCTCTGCACAAAATTCTAACGCTGTAACATTTCTTGTCAACAGATTCTCATGATGACCAAAAATAAGTGTAGCAGGTTTCCACCATGCTTTCAGGTTCAGTATAAAAGGGTTTCTGCGGACTTCAATTTGGTTCACAGTGTAAATTGTAAATGTTCCACATTTTGCTTGTTGCCAAAATCGAGGGCGTAACCCCCTTTTTTTGCTTGAATTAAATATCCTTCCTTTTCTCCTTCTTTTTTGGGTTAAGCACAGCTGACGAGGGGAGAATATGCTTAACTCAAAAGTGCGTAACTTTTTAAGGGATTTTTTTGACTTAAGTGATTAATGGGAGAATAGAGCTATGGGTGTGTGTTCATAAACACGAATGATCAAACTGGATACCTGTCTTTCAGCTTTTGGAGTCTTCAGTGGCTGTATTAAACTCAAAAGGTATCAAATACTAAGGTGGCAAGGATCAGCTGGAGGAAATGCTGTTAGTATTTCAGCACATTATAAAAATACAACAAAAACCAACCACAAACGGTGTGAAAATATTGGGCATCACTTGTTAGTAGTTATAAACAGAGATGGAGATTTCAGGTCCAGAGAGTACAAATCCAGACCAAGATTTTGTTTTAACCAACCAGTTGAGTACTCTGTGACTGTGATTCCTTATACTCAACTGGTTGGTTGAAACAAAGTCTTGGTCTCGATTTATACTCTCTGGACTTGAAACCTCCACATCTGCTTATTAAACCCAGGAAGTACCAGTAAGAGGCAGCAGAGGTTCTGAAGGATCCCAATTGGCCAGAACAGTAAGCCACATAATCACCACATTACTGCCACCCAGCCACAAATACCACAAATATACAAGTACTTACAAGTACTACTGCAAAAACATGCCCATATCAACATTGGCAAAACCAGCTGACAGATTAGATTTTTCTACATGTGTTCAAATCATGGAATCAATGTAATACGCATAGGCCAATTGATAGCTTCATTTCATTCCGTTTATATGTAAAGATGAGGTATAAAGGTTTAACCTACAGGTGCATTATGTAGAATGCGTGTGTATTAAATTAAGAATCAATAATTAAGAAATTGAAGGTGATTCAAATAATCAAAATCACATTTTGTCATAATTTATTGAAATTATCCTCTTACACAAAACTGAATCAGAATTTTATGTACTGAACTATCATTGGATAGAGTTAATGGTATTAATAAATTAGTCCACGGTTAAATATCACTCAGGAAAAACAGCTTTAAGTGCCATTTGGAAGAATAGTGGCTGCCTACATGTATTCAGATACTCGACATAAATGGAATATTAACACATAAACATGAATTTGAGTGAAGTCTAATTAATTAAGGTAAATCTGAATATGCCTGTTTATAAAAGCTGCTGGGTCTTTGGTGTTTTATTGACTTTCAGGGCAATGGCCTACCTGCAAAGCACAGTTCATCATGCGCACAACATAGTCGAACTGCTGGTGGTTCAAGATGACCCGGTTCTGCTGTACATGCTGGCCCAGCTCATCAGTCAGGCACTGGCAAGCCACCTTACCCTTCAGGGCACGGAGAGCTGCAGGAAGGATCTGCAGGAGGAGATACAGTCACACACCTACACACTAAGGACAACGTGAAACTTGTTTATTCCCTGTCTCTGAACTCTGGTCAGTAGGGGTCCTGTAGGTGCTCATCAGCCATTACTGCCATCACACTGTGACACCAGCCAAATGTCCAAATGTGGAGAACATCCATGAAAAGGGGAATGGAGAACTCAAATACTCAGTAACACAGTGCTAGGCGAGGACTTCACCTTCTCCGTCTCCAGAGTCTTGTTGTCGAAGATGGACGTGATGCAGGTTCTCACCACCTCCAGTCTTCGGGCACTGTTGAAGACAGAACCCGCCTTGCCAAGGATTGGCACTGTGCAAAGAAGACAAGAAAAGGTTAACAGTGACAAACTGGTCTCCTTGGAAACTAGTGCCATTCTTAGGTAGCCAATAAATCCATTTCACACCAAGCTTCTGCAGCCTGAGAACAACCACTGAAAGGATGAACTGAACTCAATGTAGATGGAACAAATCCATTATGGATTGGACCTGACACCCCATTAAAAGAACTGAAAAGATCGACCTTCAAGAAGATGGTAGTTACCTGTCATACGCAGGTGGAGGACTTACCCACAGGTTGGCCAGCAGGTACTACACACTTCCTCATAGGACGACTACAGGGAACAGGGGCACCTTGATTCTTGACCAATCCCTGCTGTAGAAAAGCCTCAACACGCTCTGGGTCCAGCCTAGGGAAGGGTACCACGTGAACCCGCAAGTGTGATCCCTCGGAGGGTCGCGGAACCTTCTGGAAAGCTGTATGGGGGCTGGGGTTCTCCTGTAAGGTAGAAAAATATTCACAGCTATTCAATGAGCCTCAATGAAATTTGAATGGAAGTTGGGTGCTCTCAGTAGACCACAAGCAATATGACATTAAGAGGACATTCTCCCTATCACTCACGTTCTTGTACAGATGCTCAGCGAGTTCACGGATGTGCTTCTGAAGCTTAACTGGGCTCTCCTCATCCTCCTTAAACCGCTCAAAGTCAAAGGCGACCAGCTGCATGGAGAAAGAGAAGCATTTATTCTAGTCTTCTGACCTTCGACTAATGAGAACCTTGCAAGGACCATCTTAAGATGGACAAAAAAGCAAACCCGTCTCTTTCTGAACAGGGGAAGTGTGTATACCTCATCAAAAATGTCGCACGCCCTGTAGGGGGAGCCCCTCTCTGAAATGAAGCCACTGAAGGCCATGCTATCAAGCACTTTGGTGAGTAGATCATTCTCGATCAAGCCCCTTTGGCACAGGAAGGCCGTCTGTGAGAACGGGCATGGAGGAAACAGAAGAGACACATGGGTTATCACAGAGGCATAGCTGGAAGACAGGAAGGTTGAGATCAAGTAAAGATAGGTACTGTAGATGGATTCTTCATTAATGCCAAAGAAAACTGCAGAGGTCAAGTGAGAGCTCATATTACAGCTCAATTAAACCATCGAGGACCAAAGTACTGAGTCCATGCAAAAAAGCCGAATAAGTAGCTTTCTAAAATCCATCCATCGAAATGTGTATCCTGGACAGGGATGGCGGGGTATTCCAGGCAGCATAGAGCATAAGTCAGTTCCAAATCCAGTTTTCCATTGTTTATACCACAGAAAAGCTCTGTATCTACTCACTATGGAAAAAAACATGGACATACTTCTACTTTACAATCTATCACCGGCACAGAACCAGCTTTATTCCACACAAGAATCTCAATCAGCTAAGAAAAATACAAACAGCAATTAGCAAATCCTTCCCATTAAGCCGGACCACAAAAGCAGACAAATGCCACATCAAAGCCTCGTGCATGTGCTAAAATAGGCAAGGCTGGGGGCCGTGGCAGCAAGCAGCCGGATCTCGAGCTCTGCCCAGAGCCCCCGCCAGACCTGGGGGGTGACTTGCGTGTGCACACAGACATTACCAAGGATGTGCTCACATAAACAAAGGGAAACAAACACGTCGCTGGGGGAAAAGGCCAGCCCCGTCCAAGAACATCCATGAGACGTGTGTGTCTTACCTTGTGGAAGTGGATGACAGGCTCAGCGTGGATGCGGGTGAGCTGCAGGCAGGACCTGTAGCCCTGGAAGAGCTGCGCAAACAGTCTGAGGAAGACGGCACGTACCTCCTTGTCCTGTAAAACACAGGGCAGAAATTTAGACAGTCCCAGAAGGGAGAGCGGGAACCTAGTAAGGTCAGAGGGGCAGAAACTGATGTATCTGTCTGTCTTTGAGTGACTAGGTAGAGATGGATGGATGGATGGATGGATGGATGGATGGATGGATGGATGGAGAGATAAACAGTGACAGTGCAAAGAATGTTAGAATAGTACACAACATTTAATTTTTTAATAAACAGAAAAGTCTAACAGAACTCACAAAACAAAAACACAACAGAGGTTAATGTTCGGGTTTTTAACCTGTGTACTGAGCAACAAACAACGTGTTACATGCCACCAGAAGCCAAACTGTAGATCTTAAAAGGGCCAGCATGGAGGCACATTTGTCCTGCAGTGTCTTTTGTTTGTTTTTTTTAAGGCCAATCACATCCACATCATTAGCTCTGGATGCAAGTGTGATCATGACCTACCAGAAGTTTCATATTGGAGGAGGCCGCTGGAGGTGGGGGGAAAGCCTTATCAGCCATCTCGAGGTCTGGGTGCAAAACCTTGCAGGACAGGAGAAACATTCAAATGGTAACACTCAACAAATTCACATGTTGGAACAGCACGATGCCTTGGAGATAGAGACTGCATGTTGGGAGGCAAACACCTGGGATCTTTCTGGGGTTCCAGCCAGCAAATATTTATTCTTGCCATTGACTGTCATGCTACCTGCTGACACCTCCGAAAGAGGAGTGAAATGCATGCTGGGACATTACCATCGACAGGGCCGCCTGGGTCTGATTCAGCAGGGGCTCAGGGAGGTGGGACAAGTGGATGCACTCGGGGATCTTGATCGTCCCTCCATCCAGGTCAGCAATGATGACATCCAGCTGAGAATAACACAGAAGGACACATCTGAGTAACATCTCAAAATCCATGCAAATTACTGTCAACTTTTCCATTTTTCTACATTACATTTCACTGTATACTCAGGTCATAATGAGAAACAGCACAAGACCTGCATCAGATATAAACATGAACTGAAATACATCCAATTCAACTCAACCCAACTCAACTCAACTCAAATCTAATCCAACTAAATCCAACCCAACCCAGCTATAATGAATCCAACCAGTACCAAAATAAAATGTTTTTTATAGGAAGTTGGATCACAACAACGTGGAATAATAACTTCAACAGGCAAACCTTCAAAATGACTTTTTACTTTTTGCTGTTAGTCTTGCGCTCTAATGACTCAAGGGAACCTAGGAATGCATTTGACACTGTAACAAAGCTGTCTGAGGCCCTGTAACAAAAGCCATCAAGCCTATAGGCTTATTTTGGTACATGGACATATCTGCTTGTGGAAAAAAAAAGGAGAAGGGTGATTCATCTGAGCATATTCTTCCAGTGCGGTCAGGTCATTTTGAGTTGTGTGTTCGGCCTTGATTAGCCAGTGCTCAGATACCACTGGCTTTTGCCCACAGTTGCCCAAAATTCCAACATCATCGTTTCCACTGCTTCTTGTGAGGCATTAGCAGCCCAAGCAGTCCTGGTCACTAAAGCTCCTGCCAAACATGGTGCTCTATGTAAGCCTCTCTCAAAGTCACTAAGATGCTTCTAGGCATGATGGAATATTCACTGCTTCATCAACTCAGATTTGTGAAAGTGCCTGATTTAACGTTACAGTTTCTATCTCACCATGTACTGAAATGTTTTGCTCAAGTTGAGTTACCTGTAGGCAGAGGTGTAAATTGCAGGTCCAGAAAGTAAAAATCCAGACCAAAATTTTGATTCAACCAACTAGTTGAGTACTCTGCGACTGTCACTTTGTATGCTCAACTGGTTGGTTGACACAAAATCTTGGTCTGGATTTTTACTTTCTTGACCTGAAATGTACACCTCTGCCTATAAGTTAACCCAGTACATCAATGACACTACAATGGAACAAAGCCTGCACTGCTCCAGGAGGTCTTACCAGGTCCTGGATCTCACTCTGGAAGACAGAGTGCACCCCAATGATGAAGGGTGTGGGTGAGCTGAGCATCTCCAGCAGGCAGGAAGGGAGAATGGGAATGTAGGGGTAACTGGGTGCACAAATCAGAGAGAGAGCACATTCAGGCCCCATGTCAATGAACAAATTCTCTCCAAGGCCTTAGCAAACCTACAGACATGCAAATGCAAAATACACAAAAATCTATTTATACATTTCAATATATATTGACTAATACTGACAGTAGCAATAATAAAAGCTTAGGTCTCATACGCGAATAAAGAGACCACAAACTTTCGTTTTGGCTCAGGGTAAAGTTTTACATAAATCCTGAACAGATCGGGGAAGAGCCAAAGATGGATTAATGAAGTATTTTCGAGCTCCACTCATGCCACATGGGTATAGCAGGTTTGCCTAATAACACAGTCAGATCTCGACTGATGCAAGTAATCCGTTCCACAGACGATTACGTAAGTCAAAAATGTCGGATTTACCCCCCATACCATTGAAGACTCATAGCAAAAAATACATTAGCTAAAAATATATATTAAACAACACATATTAAATCAATAAAAAGATAAAGTGTGAATTTAGTTATATGTGTTTATCGTCTTTTTACATCTATGATGCCATGATCTCTTTGAATCTTGGATCTTTTTTTGTCTAAGTTCACATTTAAGATAGTCGGTTTTATATAAGTCGAGAGCTACTTGTATTCCATTTGGGTCATCTGAACTGAGGTGGCCCTCTGTAACACAGAACCAGGTCTAGCCTTAAACCTAACCACTAGGGGGCGATATGCTGAGTCTCAGACTTTATAAATGGGCCACTCACCTGTACTTGAGTGGGAACATGAGGGATTCCAGAGCCCTACAGGCGTCGCTAAGGCGCTGCGAGCTGGTGGAGTGAAACAGAACCCGGTGTTCCGTCAGGACAGCGGAAAAGAGGCTGAGAACATTCTGGATCCCTGACATGTGGAAGAGGCGGAGGAGTAGCGGTTGAGCAACAGACGCTGTTATTGCACACGATTTTATCAAGAACATTCTCCGATGGAGAATACAGAATGACACAATGTTTATTTTTAACATCAATGTAAAATTTCACTTTCGCCAAATTCAAAGACCCGGGGCTGGAAATCCGTGCAGAGATCATCAGTATCAACTTGAAAGGTAAACAGATAATACAATAAAGATATTAAACAAAACACGCTAGACTAACCAACATCCCAGGCATTAGTTTGGATAAAGTTCGCTTCATACAGGAAGCACACATGAGAGAGTCTCTCAAAATATTTCTCACATTCTTTCGATACAAAATAAACCTTGAAAAAAAGAAAATACCAAAACGGCAATGAAAATAAGTTTCAGGTCTCCTAGTTCTTCCCTTTTATCATACTGTCAGTGGGATAATTAGCGAACAAAAATACAGAAGAATACAGGAGATTACAAACAGAGAAATATCTGTACAATTACTGTGTTTCTAGGCCACATTATATCTGTGTCAGGCTTGACATTTACAATACAAATAAATTGGGACTTTTGTGTTCATTTGAGAACTAGGGGATAATTAGCCTAACAAGACCCCTGCCTTTATTCTGCTGTCAATAGGTCAAGGCTTTAGAACTAAGCTAACAAAACATTCTGAGGGTACAGAAGAACGTAAATATTGCTAACAAGAGCACTACTAAGCTCCCCAAAACCCTTGAGGGAGAGAATGTTTTCATTGTTCTGATCTAAAGTGGTCCATATGTGGCTTTGTGTTCATGAATCAGTGCTACTGGAAAACCAGTCAAAAGGCTTGACTTTCTCTTGTTTTTTTGTTTTTTTTTTACTTTCTCTTGTCATGGACATGTTGTATGCTTGGATTACATCACATCCTTTTCGCAGGGACCTATCAGCTCTCAGGAGGATGGTCGATGCTATACACACCACTCCACGTGAAGTTTTCGTTTGCAAGCACTTTGGTCTTTAAACCAATTTGTTGTGCAGAAATTGAATCCATTGCGTAAACATTGAAATCTTCCTCAGTATGTGAACATTACTACTTCCATCATTAATAACTTTGAATTCATCCTTCTTGAGCTTCCGCTTCCACTAGTCTGTCCAGTTTCATTTCAGGCCTTTTCATGGCTGATACTGGAAATTTGAAAAATTCTAATTGTTTAGCACGACTCATTTCATGTCCTCGTTTTTGTGGTTTCTGGTCATATTTATTGTTTTCTAATCTAATGTCCACTTTGAAAGATAAATACTACACAGCTCAACATTTAGCTAGACAACTTCCATCTCCAACCAGTGACCCAGATTTCGTTGCTTGCCGAATCCTTTATTTCATCACTCCAATATTAATCAACAGACAGTTTGCTAAATTGCATTACTGTCTGATTTAAAGCAACAACGATGTATGAAATTAAAGTAGCAACAACTGATTCTAAAGACTTAAACAGTAACTTGAGGTTGCACCAGACAGGTTGATTAATGGTAACTGTGCCTGTTCTGCCTGTCCCGTGAAGCATTTTGTATAAGGTAAAAAAAAAAAAAGCTATTCAATGGAGTTCATATGTTTTTAGTGTCCTGGAGATTATTTCAAAGTAAGGGAAGCAGATCTATGTGGTTTGCTGAAAAGAATGAGGGCTATTGGGGGGCGGGGGGCGGGGCGGGGCGGGGGGGCATTAACATACAGGTGAAAGAGACACTCGTTCAGTTCACCAGTCGCTCCTAATGGCTATGCTGGTGTCCCTTCTTTGATTTGTTTAGATTAGCTGGATCTGTGTATATCAGGGGGTCTCAAACTCAGATGACCTAGTGGCCATTGGCCAGAAGGGCTTCAGCTCAAGCGGGCCACTTGAGGTCTTTCTGAACCAAAAGAGGAACGAAGGAATTAAATAATGTTACACCGGTGATCCGTTAATTGGTGGCACTGCTGCCGGCGGTGAAACTTGCGGGGGAGGGGGGTGGGGGGGGGTGTGTCAGCACTGATTAGTGAAATGACGTTACATCGCTTTATATTCTCCATGGATAACAAAAGATCGATCTGCAGGCCAAGTTTAATAATGGATTAAAAACATGTCGCGGTCTGTATGGAACCATCTGACGGGCCGGATCTGGCCTGAAGGCTGATACTTCGAGGCCTTCGGATCTATATTACGCACAGCACCAGTGAACGGCAGTGAAACTATGAACTTGAGCCATCTTGCAAAGGAAAGTGATGGACAACTTGTTTGGGATGGACTGAAGAGAACAGTCGAGCGATCACTGCACATGAGCTGGGAGGGCGTGTGAGGTGATTACACTGCTTAAAATGGCAGTGGTAGACTAATGGTTAGGGAAGCACACTTATAACTGAAAGATTACAGGTTTGAATCCCTGACCAGCAAGGCACCCCTCCCTGGGTACTGAATTAGCATTTTGTTGTGTGTCAACAATGACAACTAATCACTTTCACTTCACTAAACTCAAACGCCTTGTGTCTGTGATGTCTCGATCGACGATGGCTATTTCGAGGAATTAGGAGGCTTTTCTTGAACACTGCTTCAGTACGTAGGCTGTGTAAATCGTAATGCGTTTTATCAAATTAAGGTTTTCACAGAAAAAAAAAATTAGCTTTCAGAAAGTGTACTCAACCTGAATACTGTATATATCTGTACATTTATGTATGTTATTTAAAAATCCAATCAAATATTGTGATTTTTAAGATAGCAGACCAAGTAAACCAAATTATGCAGACACTGTCCAAATACAGTAAAGTCTACATGTCTGCATCACCCCGGGCTTGTAACAGAACACAGTCTTGCTATTTACTACAAACTAATGATGAACGTCTGAAGATGGGCAGATGGATTAAAGCAATGATCAAAGATTATAAAGTGGCCAGAGTTCTGTTAAGTAATAACATTCTAAGCCAAATATTTAACCATTAATCACTCTGTGGAGAAGAAAAGGATCCCCGCTTTCATGATGGAGTTAAACCCTCTTCAGCAGGCCTGCCCCCGTGCCTGTACTGGTTGCCATGGAGCCCAAAGTAAGGTAGAGAAAGCATGGCATGTGGCCAGGCGACCAGAACCCTTTATTTCACACATTCCTTCCTGTGCTACCTTATACTGCATAAGAATCATTAATTCCATGAAATTACTAAATTTCGCTCTGAGCTGTTGTGGGATTAAAAACAATCGAGTTCTGGATGCTGAGGAATGAAGGAGGTATCAGCTGAAGAGCCAGTAGGTGCAGAGGCACGGACCTCCTGCAGGAGGTACGGGACATGGCGGGCCTCACGGATCTCCTGCAGGAGGTACGGATGCCTGGTAAGGTGGGCTGCCCTGCATCCTGTCCAACCAATCACAGGCTTCACACGGGGCTAATCGCGGATCCAGCGAGGGGTCGCAGCCAAATCTATCACACATACATGTGTAGTTAGGGGTGGAACTACTAGCCAACTGGGCTACTTCAGTAAAAAAGTATGCAGCCCCTGTGCAAATACAGCAAAGTCTATGTCTGCATCACACCGAACTTCTAACAAAGCTGCGACCTCTTCACCACGCCGGTTGACCAAGATGGGGGGAATCCAAGAAGGAAATTAACTTCCAGCATTATTCCGTGCACCTCATCCCAACCTGGCCAAAATGACCAGCCACAGCTTATTAGCAGCATGTGGCTCAGTGGGCTAAGCCTCTGTATCTGTGATCGGAAGGTTGCTGGTTCAAGCCCAGCCTTGGCACATCTATGGGTCTTTGAGCAAGGCCGTTAACCCCCAGCTCCCTAGGTGCTGCTATGGGTGGCTGCCCTTCACAGCCAGCTTGCTCTGACCTACAGAGAGCAAGTGGGGGAGGTATAAAGAGACTTATCCATGGGGATCAATAAAAGTATCTATTAACAGCATTTACACAGCACCATGTTCCCATGTGGGTTTACCGCTCTTTTTGACCGGCGTTTACAGTGAAGCTATTGCCTGCAAGACCCTGACGACAAGGACCAATTAAATCGTGAGGTAAGAGCAATTCACAAATGCACCAAATCCATCAGAACAACAAAACAACACACTTTCAAAAATCAAAACAAAACAAAAAAAACCACAAAGTTACAATCCAAAGAAAATGAAAAACTTGATACTTGAAAAACTTAAGTCTTTTTCTATGGAAATGCTGACAGATCTATGACTAAATAAACACATTACTGTTGCCTGGCTCCAACCTGCATACAGTCCCACCACAGCGGCAAGAAAAATGAAATCCAGCCTTCGCTGCACTACTGCAGTTAGAAATATTCATTTGAAAACCGCAGATCACCACAACCCAGCGACGGGTGAGTGGTTATGGAAAATGGACAGATTGGTGTACATCTGAAACTATTCAGTAAGAGACAATAGACACAACATACAGCTATTTAAAATACGATACAAAGACACTCACTGTAAACCATGTCAAATCTTTAGCATCCGATGGAGAAGTGTATCTTTGTTTCAGTACTCTGTGAGTACGTTTCAGTACTCCATGGGCATGTTTCAGTACTCTGCGTGACCATGTTTCAGTACTCTGTAAGTATGTTTCAGTACTCCATGGGCATGTTACAGTACTCTGCGTGACCTGATTTCCTTTGAAGAAATGTTTTCTTGTAGTTTTTAGTTTTCGTTAACAATAATCCTGCTCTGCTTGAGCTTGTTTCAGTACTCTATGTAAGTGTGTTTGTGGTCTGTGTGTGTTTCTGTACTCTGCGTGAGCATGTTTCAGTTCTCTGTGTGCAATGTCTCAGTACTCTGTCTGTTTCAGTACTCTGTCTGAGTATGGTTCAGTATTCTGCATGAGCATGTTCCAGTCCTCTGAACATGTGTCCGTGGGTTGCAGACCCACCTAGCTGCTGGAAGAGCAGGCTGACAGTCCTACCGCTGACCGGCAGGTTGCAGTTCTGTGGCGTCTGGATCAGCTGCCGGTCTCCCGCCCCCAGGGAGAAGAGTTTCTGTGATGAGAGACCCAGCAGCATCCATTAGAAAGCAGGCAGTCTGCGGAGGTCCCCGTGATAGCGGTGCTTGGTTAGAGTAACACTGCACGCAAACACCAAGAGTTTTGTTCCCTGTCCATAATCAATCAGTACAGCTGTGTACTGGGTACTGCTCCCTCCGTCTTACGCGCAGGGGTTGATCTCATTCTTAAAGGAGATGGGTTAATGTGTGAATGCCTCCCAAGTCCACTACTGTCCAGATCAGACACAAAAGTACAGTGAAAATAATGACTCATCTTTGAGTGAAAGGCAGAAGATCAGTGGACAAGGAAGACCCGACTAATGGACAACTCTGTTTCTGAAAAACGCAAGAACTAGTAATATATTAATATAGAGTCTACTGCTTCACTCAAATAAAAAAAAATGTATAGCACCACTTATGGGTTCAACTGTAGTTAATTATACCAACTTTGAGCAAAGTGCAACCAAACACATATTTGAGAACTGTTGTCTGAGTCGAATCATTTAAATTATTTCAGTAGCAACCCATGGCAGATAATCGGAGCCATTCTTGATTAGTTAGTCATGAATGTGTTTTTGGTAGGTGGTTTAGAAACAGAGTTTAAGAGTTTGCAAACTAATTACAGAATGCTAAATCCAAGATGGCGGCCATATATTACTCAGCCGTACCTGGAACAGTGTACAAGACCATTCTTGAGTTTACACATGACCACACATGTTTACACTTCCCGAACGGTTTACCAGTTACATGATGTCTCGTGGCGTAATGCTGAGGGTATGATTCACACCCATTTCATTAAGTAGAACACAGTGAAATTAACTTTGCAGTTTAAGGTTCTCATTTTTGGTAAGTTCAGTGGCCCAGGAAAAGACATGCATAAACTCATTTGCATATCATGCTCCAGGGATGTAAGATAAATGGCTGTGTGTGTGTGTGTGTGTGACCCTGAACTCAGAACCCAAGCTTCACTATCTATGTGTGTGTGCACTTTAGAAAAGAGAGCATTATGGGATATGTGAAAGCTACAGCACTTCAATGTACTTATGCAAATAAAGAGTCATAATTTAATTTTTTAATTATTTAATGAAGGTTTCATGCCTGCAGAGTAAAACCACCAAGAAGGAGGAACAGTGGAACACTGGAGTTCAGGGTGACAGCCATAGCATGTGACCTACAAAACACCAGATTGACCGGAGACTGCAACCCATACAGACCAAGGGAGAGGGAGGTCAGAAAAGGTGACCTGAGGTGGAGACAGGGGGTCCCCACCCTCAAATGCCTCTTTCACATGGTCAGCAAAACCCTGCATGGTTCAGCTGGAAAGAATCGAGGTCCCCAGGGCGATGCAATAAGACGGACTGAACAGCTGGGCTGCACGCCACCATCACTAGCGGATGACACATTCTTTCAGAAAGGCCAGTCCTAACCAGAACTGGCCCTTTTTCAAAGAATCTTGGCTCTGGGGGGTGAAGGGGGGCGGGGGTGTTTGGTTTAGAAGAAGTAACTGATGTGGCTGCAGGACATTCTTCCCATCCAGCAATCAGAGCTAATTTTAGAGTCAAGCACCCCCCCCTTCCCCCCCAAACTACATGATTGACTCGAGGGAGACGTGCTCAGACAAAGAAAACAAAGGAGAAGTGCCGGATACATTAACACCATGTTTGTGCTGCATTAAGAGTAACCTGCCCGAGTGTGGAATTAACCCAGGTCAGTGGGGGGCGCCACCGGAGCACGTGGGCCTCGGGGAATCATGGGTCAGGCCAACAAGGAGGGGTCAGAGGTCAGGTATTCTTGGAATGGTGTCGGGGGACTCACCTGGGACCCGGCGGCCAGGGGGACAAGGCACGTGAGGAGAGAGGCCACCAGCGCCTCCAGTGGAGGGCTAAGGCTGTCGATGTAGACAGTGTACAGGAGACCCAAGCAGCCCTGCAGAGACACACAGAGCCAGTGCTGGACAACCCACAGTGCAAGTACTGTACAACTGATAGAGCAAGTACTGTACAACCCACAGAGCAAGTACTGTACAACTGATAGAGCAAGTACTGTACAACACACACAGAACAGGTACTGGACAACCCACAGAGCAGGTACTGTACAACCCATAGAGCAAGCATTGTACAACACACACAGAGTGAGTACTGTACAACCCACAGAGCAAGTACTGTACAACTGATAGAGCAAGTACTGTACAACACACACAGAACAGGTACTGGACAACCCACAGAGCAGGTACTGTACAACCCATAGAGCAAGCATTGTACAACACACACAGAGTGAGTACTGTACAACCCACAGAGCAAGTACTGTACAACTGATAGAGCAAGTACTGTACAACACACACAGAACAGGTACTGGACAACCCACAGAGCAGGTACTGTACAACCCATAGAGCAAGCATTGTACAACACACACAGAGTGGGTACTGAACAACCCACAGAGCAAGTACTGTCCAACACACACACAGAGCGAGTACTGTACAACACATACAGAATGAATACTGTACAGCCCATACAGACTGAGTAATGTACAACACATACAGTGAATACTGCATAACACAAACACAAGTACTATATATCAAGCATCAACTACAGCCGTCCCTGGGCAGACATGCGAGTGTTGCCACAGCGGCCCTGTAACTACTTAATAGTTGGAATCACAGGAATCACAAAGGAGATGCAGACAGCCCTGCTGGGAAGCTCTGACTGCATTAAGTGGCCACTATCAGCAGCAATTCCAACAAACAACGAGCTCGTTCTGTGAAAAGGCTTCAGTGACGGGCTGTCGTTTGGGGCTCGGCGAGTTACCCGAAATACTTCAGGGAAATCCAGCCGGGAGACGAGGACGAGGCTTTTGGGTGCAAACAGCACGGCCGGCTGGATTAAACCGTCTTCCTCTGGCTCCTCGTCTTCTTGGTCAGCTGAGGACATGGCCTTTGTTCCCTGCAGGAGGAAGCATAGAAAAAGAAGAACTTAAACCCATCAGAAAGACTCAAGAGGCCTGCTAATAAACAGCCCAACATACAGCACCGGGTTCTGAGCATCACAACAGATCAAGAAATGTCCAGGTTCTGGCCGAGAATGTGACTGTCTGGAAAGACCTAGATGTCCAGTTAGACTGAAAATCATCACAGAAAATGCATGTTCCGGGTAGAGCGGGGAGAGGTCCAGCTTTCCTCCAGTGGAACAAATGCATCTGCCCCACCAGGAGCAGGCAGCAGAGGGGCAGTGATATACCCCGGATAGGATGCCAGTCCATCGCAGGGCACGGGGCTCAGATACATCCTGGATGGGATGCCAGTCCATCACAGGGCACGGGGCTCAGATACATCCTGGATGGCATGCCAGTCCATCACAGGGCACGGGGCTGATACACCCCAGATAGGATGCCAGTCCATTACAGGGCACGGGGCTAAGACACACCCTGGATGGGATGCCTGTCCATCGCAGGGCAGTTACATGTACTACGGGAGAGAACCGGAGTCTCCGGAAGAAACCTATATGACTGAGAAGAAACCATATCAGATTCTCTTCCAAAAAGAAAACAAAATTGCCCAGGACATCACTGAAGGACATTCTGTTTGACCCATCTTCCACCAGAAGTTCTGAGATCAGGGATTCCTGCAGAAACTGCTGTAGGGTCGGTGGTAGCAGATATTTCAGTGCGTGTGTGTGTGTGTGTGTGTGTATGTGTGTGTGGGGGGGGGCGTTATCACAGCAGGGGGTTATATTAAAGACCAGGCATTCCAGGGAGAACACAACCTCATCTGAAAACTATGATGCTGCTCATTAAATCAAACCGTAGGCTCGGCGACACGGTTTCCAGGCCAGACCCTGTAACGCTCTGGCACGAGCCCTGGAGTATAACTGCGCGTCCACACACTGCATCGCCAAGAGCCCTTGGCTTCTGACAGTCCAGTGTGTCTTCCATCGGTCGATGAGTTAATGCACCTCAAAGCAACATTCCCGCCTCGTGCCAGTTATCCTAAACCCTGGTCCAGTCAAGGGAAATCCGCAAAAAGTCTAGGAAGGGCAGTAAAAAAAAAACATACAAACCACACACTTCCGGCTATCAGCCACACTGCAGTAATGGTCATAAGAAGAATCTCATATCATTACAGAGCGTAGGTAAGCATTATTCCATGTAGGAACACCACGGGAAGCGATCAAATTCCAGGAAAATTCCCAGTTAAGTACCAGTCTGAGTACTGAGAAGCGTAAGTCGATGCTGCCAGACTGTTGGGTCCCCGCTGAGTCCACGCTGGCCGAGGGCCCCCAGACAGACCCTCCTGAGCTTAAACCCAGCCTTGAGAGCAAGGAAAAAAATGTGTTTATTAAAGCTTGGAACAGATTATAATCTGTTTAACTTAATTTCCTGAAAAACTGTGTCAGAAGATGCAATCGTAATGCAATAATGACCGAGCTGGAACCCAAGTCCACGATCTAAGCCGACAGAAACCGAAATAAGCAGCTGGGTTTCCAAGAGCCGCACGGGCCGGAACACCGGGAAGAGCCAAAACGGGCTGCGAGGGTTTGGGGATGCTGAGACTCGGGAGGGTCTCTCCTGGAACGGGACATGGGAAAGGCAGCAGCCAGCCAGCAATGTTCACTCTGCTGGATTACAGGACTCTCCAGATCCTCCCGTCACTTATAAAAAGGAAAAAGCAAACATCATGTGTTTCCACTTTATTTTATAACAAAAATATTATATATAAAAGCTTCTGATCTGAGTATAGAATTAAATACTTCAGCGGGGCCTGAGAGGTTAAGCCACGCAGCACGAGAGCATGCTGGCGCTCGTACACCTTGCCGACTCACAGGGCCAGGCGGAATCCCTCTGCTGGCCACTGGCGGTACTGCAGGCAGCACAGTGCCGTCCATGTGCCTGGACTCTCCAATCTGGCTCCTATTACGCCATCCGGGAATGATCATTCAGACAGCAAAGATATGCACCTTTCAAGCCCCCCAGCTGAGACAATTTATATACAAAAAAAAAAAAACACAGACTAACGACAAACATGCTGCTGTTACGTGCAGGATATGGTCAGTAACACAAATACAGAGTATTGTGTTTAACATAAAACCATGACTAGTTTAGCTCCATTATCACCCAGCATCATACTTATCAATGTCGCACATTTACTCCATTTTCCACGCTGCATGTTTTTAGGTTGTGCCCAATGGCTCAGCATCAGTGTTGATGCCTTAGATGTGTTCTGTATTCATGCACAATTCAGTCATTCTGTGGTTTTTAGTCAAGTCAGGCATTTCAAGCATCTATGCCAAAGCTACAAATCTGGAGAAGCCTTAGGGCTGTGAACTGACAACCTTCTGGCATCCTCCACCTACAAGCACGAGCTAATGATGTCACTGGAACTTCAGCCTACCAACACATATAAATTTAAGCATAAAAGACTTGCAAGGCATTGTGGGACTTCTGCACACTGGTGACTACTGCCTACAGGACTCTGGCATTTCTTGGTGGTCAGTAACTCCAATTCCAACATAAAGAATCACAAACAAAATGTTTACGCGGCGTTTGAATCAGGCCGGATGTTTAACAACACTGTGAAACAACGAAGTAAATGATGCAAATTCCACCTCACATTCGCTCAGCACTGCTGAATAGATGAGCCTAGACCCGTAAACTGGGAAGACGATCAACACCGCGCCACGCTTATGCGCCTTCTGCCAGCCACAGGTCGACTCTTTAAAAATAATTGGATGCACCCCCTGTGGAGAAACTTGGCATTGCATTTCTGACAGCTGAGAGATAACTTAAGGACAAAGCCTGACCTGAACTCTCAGACTTGCTGGGAAGGGTGATACCAAGGCACGTGTTCCTCATCATGCCCCCCCCCCCGCGACACTCAATGTAGAAGTATGCGTTCGTTATACATACTGAAGCCCCCGCTGCTGACCAGGTACGTGTGGGGTCTTCTTCCTTGGTGATGTCTGTTGTTTCTGGGTCCCACTCAAAAATATCACCCCCCCCCCCCCCGCAGAAGATTCAAAAACAAAATAAACAGGTAAACCGTAGAAAGAGAACCATAGCTAGTTAGCGGATTAGCGTAGCATATTGCTTCTAAATAAGGAATGCATTTATGTGATATTTAGTGACTGTTTTGATCTGACTAGCTTATCTGATGCCGGGCTGTAACAATTCTCAGCGCCTGCTGGAGAGCTTCCTCGCACTGGCTACTGTTCACGCAGTGGAAGCTCAGGCTTACAGCACTTGTACCTGAGTTGGCTCCTCGACAGCCATATGTCTGCGGTGCATTATGTGCCCCCACTCAAATGTAGCTTTGAACTGCAGTCAAACCAGCTACCAAATAAATATCCCCCAAAGTGAATCCTTCAGTGGTGTAATTCTTAATTTACAGAGTGTCAGAGATGGACTAAGTATATATTTTATGGGGG